GGAAAAAAAAAATAGCTAATGGTGAAACCTGGCCCTTAATGGTACCAACAGCCAATGTAAGCCGTCCAGGTTCTGTATTAAATGTTCCTAGAAACTTCTTTTTTAGCACCCAAGATGATGGGGATGACAGAATCTGACACTCCCCTATTCTTCAGGAACTGGGTTACAATAGCCATGCCGTCAAATTTAGCAACCATAAAGCTGGGTGCAATATAGGACCTTGAGACAACAGGTCTGGCCGATATGGCAGGGTCCACAGCCCATCTACTGCCATCTTCAATATGTCCGCGTATCAAGACAGAGCAATCAGTATCACCGGAATAGACTCCTCTCAAATCCTGCATAAGAGACACGGAAGCAGCTGGATCATAGGAAAGGCATAAATCAGTGAGAACTGGTTCCTAGGAATCACTAAGGCATCTATCCCTGCTGCACGAGGGTCCCTTACCCTGGACACAAAAAGACCAACCTTGTTGTTGAACATGGATGCCAATAGATCTACATCCGGGTAACTCCATCACTGGCAGAATTCTTTGAAAACATCGGAATGCAAAGCCCATTCCCTTGGAATCAACTGCCAGCGACTGAGATAATCCGCCTGCCAATTTTCCACACCTGGAATGAACACTGCTGACAGACTTGGAACATATCTCTCTGCCCAGGTCAGAATGTAGCTCACCTCTTGAGCACCTTGACTCTCAGTACCGCCCTGGTGGTTCATGTATACCACTGCTGTGGCATTGATGTACTGAATCCCTACAGGCCAACCCTGAAGCCTGGATGTCCAATACCTTAGAGCCAGCCTCACTGCTTGGAATTCCAGGACATTGATGGGAAGAACTCTTTCCTGTGCACGCCATGTTCCCTGAACTGTGGCCTCCCAATCCGAAAGGTTGGCATTGGTGGTTTCCAGCTTCCACACCACTAGCCGAAAGGATCTTCCCTTCTCCAAATTGCGAGTTATCAACCACCAATTCAGGCTCTGCCACACCTTTGGAGACAGAGATATGCAGTAGTCCAGGGCTGGAATCTTTTTGTTCCAAACAGATAGAATGTACCTTTGCAGAGGGGTTTGGAGTGTAATTGGGCATAGGGAATAGCCTCGAAGGAGGACACCATATTCCCCAGCAACCTCATACAGAGGTGAATCGAAGGATACCTCTTGGCCTTCAAACTGCAAACCTCGTTCCTCAGGGTGCAACGTTTCCCTGGAGGCAGAATTACCTTTGCCTGAACAGTGTCTAGGACAATGCCCAAATACTCCAGGCTCTGCACTGGTTCCAGGGATGACTTCATGAGGTTGAGCACCCAGCTCAGATATTTCCAGGATCTGGAAACGCTGAGCCCCTAGTGCAAACCGCAGAACTCTTTGGTGAGAAATGAATGTTGGTACATGCAGGTATGCATCCTTGATGTCTATGGACGCTAAAAAATATCCCTGCTGTAGAGAGGCCACTACTAACTGAACTGATTCCATACGAAAGGATTGGACATTTAAGAACTGATTTATCTCCTTGAGGTACAAAATGGGCCTTACATCCCAATTTGGTTTTGGGACTGTAAACAGGTTTGAATAAAACCCCTGAAACCTTTTGCCCACTGGAACCTCCGTGATTACTCCTTGAGCCAATAGGCACACAAGTGCCTAAAATAAAGCTCTTCTTTTCTCTGGATTTATTGATATATTTGATTGTAGAAACCAGGGAGAAATACCCAAAATTCCAGTCTGTAGCCCAGAGAAAACGTGGAAATTTCCCATTTGTCTTGGATTAGAGCCCTCCATGCGGCCATAAAATTCAAAAGTCTTCCCCCACCCAAACAAGTGGGGGAACCCTTTCATAAGGAGGCAGACTTTGGATCTGTCTTAGATAACTTTTGCACCCAGGGTCTCCTTTGGTTTTGATTCTGAGATCTACCCCTGGAGGCTGGGACCTGTGTGTGGAAAAATGACTGCCTGGTAGATGAGGGCCCAGCAAACAAAGCCCTGACACCTTAAAAGAAGAGCATTTGGATTTCCTCTGAGAGGGTAGAAGAGTACTTTTACCCCCTGAAATCTTTTGGATATATTTGTCCAAATCTTCTCCAAACAGCCATTCCCTATGAAAGGGAAAACCTGCCAACAATTTTTTGCATGGCAGTTCTGCTGACCAACTCTTCAGCCACAAACCCTGCGCAAGTGCACGGATAAGAAGGCCAAGTGAGAAATTTGCTGAATTGAATCCTTAAGAGCATGCAGAACATCCTTCAAATCCTCGGTCGAGCATTCCCCCTGCACTGATGGTCTTCCAATCTGTTGCTTGACACGGTTAGGAAGCCTCTAGCAAATGCCAATAGCTGCCACAGCTGACTGTGCAGCAGAACCTGCCAGGGACAAGGAGGCCTTAAAAAGAGACTCCAGCTTCTTATCCGCTGGGTCCTTGAAAACCTGTACATTATCCACAGGACAAGTTAAAGATTTATTCAGGGATGAAACAGCTGCATCCACTACAGGCAACCCCCATTTCTTAACAAACTTTTGTTCCATGGAGTACAAAACAGAAAACCTCTTTGGTGGAACAAAAACCCTGTCTGGGTGTTCCCAGTAAACATACATAATTTGCTCCAGAAGAGCATGCACCAGAAAGGGCTGAGTACTCTGTAAAGGCTTCAAACATCCCAAGGAAGAATGAGTGACCTCACAGGTTTCTTTTGGAGGTAGCCTAAATCCAGACTGTACCATACTGTATCAGTGAGGTCTATGACTAAAAGTCTCTGCGACTGGGAGGCAGAGACCTGCTGCTTCTCCTGAGGCTATGACTCCTCAGACAAAAATTCTACTGCCTGACCTTCCTCCAGCTCTTCCTCATCCTCTGGCTGCATCCACTCCTGCTCCAGGATTGGTGGTTCTAGTGACAGGATCTATCCTGCTTCTTAGTCCCCTGAGAAACTGATGTAATCATCCCAGCAATCTTATCTTATAAACCTGCTAAGGCTGAAGCAAGATCATCCTTGGTTACATGTGCTGAGGCAGAAGCCCCAGTAGTAGCCACAAATAGATGCAGCGGCTCAGACTGCCCAGTCGCTTTGGCCTGTCAGGAGAGGACATTGCAGCGGACCTTCAGCTAGGTTCCTGAGGACATGGCAGTGGCACATTAATGAACTTTCCTGCTGTACCTCCCCCTCTCCGCTTTCTGGAAGAAATTACTTAAGATAGCGCATAACTGTGCACCTCCAGGGACAAGGAGGCCTTAAAAAGAGACACAGATCACAATGAAACAGCTATGCAAGTAGTGTGCTGAAGTAAAAACACTCAATGCAAAGGCTGCCTTATGAGCCACCTAGGGCGCTTCATGACTGACTGGTTCACGCTTCCCCCTCAGGGGAGTACTCGCGTGCCCCTGCTGAATAGCAGCCACATGTGTCCTCTCCTTTTCCCTCCAATTTAGAGCTTTGTTTGTTTCTCTTTACAGAGAGAAAAAAAAAGGAGATATCTTACCAGTCCTGCCACAGGTCCCTAACTTCCGTTAGGCACCAACCTTCAACCATCACAGCAGGCATTGTAATACAGACCTTCAAGGACTACCGCCTTGGACCCCTATAGCACCCTCCTGGAAGCGCCTTGGTCAGATTTAAAACTGCACAGGGTCCAGTGCCATAAGGCTGCATTACAGGTAAAACCTTGAGGGTTCTTCTTATCCAACGAAGCTCAGGTACCATCCATTTTAGCTCATAGCCTTCCAAATGGATCTGATTAAAGTCCCTGATTCTCTAATGGAACTGTTCTGGATTTTCGCATGCTTCAAGAGCACAGCGACACTTTTAGTGACCATCCACCTTACAGACACTGGTGAAAAAAACTGAGGTACTTCCTGTATAGGAGGGGTTATATAGGGGAGGACCTCTTCTCTGATTGGTCAGCCAGTGTCCATTCACCTATAGGTGGCCTATAACCCACAGTCATGAATAGCCTGCTCTGTGTCACGTGATGAGTGATAAAGGAAACGTATATAAAGATACAGTGAAATTATGAAAATAGCACATGTTTTTACTTTCTTTTTTTATAGACTGCTTTAAAATTTTCTGCAGGACAATATTGCCAAGAAAAGGCCTTGTTTGTACCAAAAAATTCAGATATACAAATACTGATAAAGTTACTTTGTTATCTCTAGTACTGATAAAGCTGAAATTTTAAAAATGGGTCTGGTCCATTGGAGATATACAGGTGTGAGAGGTGAAGTGGTTAAGAACACAGTGGTGTCCTCTCCTGATGACTGTCAGTGAAAGAGTAGTAGCAAAAATGGAAAAGAAACAGAGGGTGCATCAGCCTAGTGCATTATCCTTAAGGCTTCACTTTATTAATAAACAAATGTGGTAAGTATCATAGTCACAAACCAACAGATGTGTCTCAGCTTATCACAATGACCGTAAGATCCAGCTCACGGGACATGACAACTGATGGTACAGATGCAAAGAACCAACTGGCTTAGCTAACCAGAGTTAAAAATAAAGGAGAAATAATAGATTTTGTCTAAGGACTCGTTCACACTTGACTAATTTCTATCTCTTGCAAAACACCCCTATAGCATTTGACAGGCGTTAGACAGGTGTTTGGGAGGCATTTTTAATGCTTCCCAAATGCCCTAGGCACGTTTTTGAGACGTTTGCCAAGCATTAGAACTGCACAACAAATGTCTATGATGAAGTTTAATAGTATTAACACTCCACAAACGCCTACCAGGCGTTTGAGGCGCATCACCATAGACTTGAATGAGAGGCTTCAACTCCTCCTGACTCGACATGAGTTGTCAATATTGCTGCAGCGCTAAAGCTTCAGTATGAACAGCACTGTGTGCTGCCATATGTATAATAGGCATTTGAGGAGCATTAACAACACTTCCTAAACACCTAACACCTGTTAACAAAGCTAGTGTGAACGTAGCCTTAGTCTGCTCATTGGGGCCAAAAAGTATATTTCCTGGAGCCAGTTAGAAAAAGCTGATTAGGAGACAGTTAAAACTCACCCTATCAACTGTTCCAGAAGGGCAAGGTCTCTCTATGCCACACATTGAACAATAATTGTATATGTTCTGTAAAAGAGAGTGAACATTAGTTTTACCTGCCTGAAATACAATCTTAATTCACCTATAATTAAATAAAAGTAGGAGCTCGGTGGAACAAAACAAGTTTCAGTGAGATTGTTCAATGAAATGATCATTTTGATATTCTAATCTAATAAAGAGATAATTGATAGTATTTCACTACCATTTTGGTTGTTTTTGACCAATTTTGTAGTACTGAATCGAAGATGAAAGCATGGATTGAAAATATTCTGATAATATTTCAACTGTTTAATTTAGTGAGTATCTGATTGATTTTGAAATAATTTCTTTAAATTTTTCCGAGACATTCAAAGTTGAAAGTGCTTGATGCAGACAAATTTACCATATGTGTTACACTGAACTAAGGTTTCATGCAATCCATTAAAACTATTATATCAAACAGTAAAACAAACTGAAAACTATTGCAGGGCCTTATATTTAATCACCCCACCATGGTCATGTTCTAAATGGTTTTGCTCCAGGCTCTTCTTCCCACCGTCTATATGCATTCTTCTAAGTTAACTTGTTTCTGTTCAAACTGGTATACAGTGCCTTGAAAACGTACTCATACCCCTTGAAATTTTCCACTATTTTTGTTATGTTACAACCAAAAACATAAATATATTTTATTAGGATTTCATGTGATAGACCAACACAAAGTGGCACATAATTGTGAAGTGGAAGAAAAATGATAAATCATTTTAAAACGTGTTTACAAATATATATCTGAAAAGTGTGGCATGCATTTGTATTTATCCCTCTTTACTCTGATGCCCCTAACTAAAATCTAGTGGAACCAATTGCCTTCAGAAGTCACCTTATTAGATTAAATTACACACAGGTGGACTCTATTTACTAAGTATAAATATAGCTGTTCTGTGAAGCCCTCAGAGGTTTGTTAGAGAACATTAATGAACAAAACAGCATCATGAAGGCCAAGGAACACACCAAACAGGTCAGGGATAAAGTTGTGGAGAAATTTAAAAATGGGTTAGGTTGTAAAAAAAATATCCCAAGCTTTGAACATCTCACAAAGCACTGTTCCATCTATCATCTGAAAGTGGATAGAGTATGGCACAACTGCAAACCTACCATGACATGGCTGTCCACCTAAACTGACAGGCCAGGCAAGGAGAGCACTAATCAGAGAAGCACCGAAGAGGCCCATGGTAGCTCTGGAGGAGCTGCAGAGATCCACAGCTCAGGTGGGAGAATCTGTCCACAGGACAACTATTAGTTGTGTACTCCACAAATCCGGCCTTTTATGGAAAAGTGGCAAGAAGAAAGCCATTGTTGAAAGAAAGCCATAAGACGTCCCATTTGCAGTTTGTGAGAAGCCATGTGGGGGAGACAGCAAACATATGGAAGAAGGTGCTCTGGTCAGATGAGACCAAAATTTTACTTTTTCGCTTAAAAGTAAAACGCCATGTGCTGTGAAAAACTAACACTGCACATCACACTGAACACTCCATCCCCACTGTGAAACATGGTGGTGGCAGCTTTATGTTGTGGAGATGCTTTTCTTCAGAAGGAACAGGGAAAATGGATGGAGCCAAATACAGGGCAATCTTAGAAGAAAACCTGTTAGAATCTGCAAAAGACTTCAGACTTGGGCAGAATTTCATATTCCAGCAGGACAACGACCCTAAACATACAGCCAGAGCTACAATGGAATGGTTTAGATCAAAGCATATTCATGCATTAGAATGGCCCAGTAAAAGTCCAGATACAAATCTAATTGAGAATCTGTGGCAAGACTTGAAAATTGCTGTTCACAGACACTCTCCATCCAATCTGACAGAGCTTGAGCTATTTTGCAAAGAAGAACGGGAAAAAATTTCACTCTCTAGATGTGCAAAGCTGGTAGAGACATCCCCCAAAAAGATTTGAAGCTGTAACTGCAGTGAAAGATGGTTCTAGAAAGTTTTGACTGGGGGGGGGGGCTGAATACAAAGGCATGCCACACTTTTCAGATATTTATTTGTAAAAAAGTTTATGTTTTTGGTCTACAAAATGTGGAAAATTTTAAGAGGTCTGAATTTTTTTTCAAGGAACTGTAGTGTGTGTCTATAAATGTGGTAGGGACATTAGATTGTTAGCTTCTCTGGTGCAGGAACTGAATGTATTATAAAAAGCACTGTATAAAAGTAGTGGTGTGCTTTACAAATGTGCTCAGTGCTTTGCTTGTTTTGCCATTAAGAAGCAAGCAAAGTGTTATGTATTTCTATGAATGGACAAAAATGTGCTGGGAGGAACACAGCCTGATAATGTACCCTTAAAAAAAATGCATATGATCAGGCTCTCCTATTCTGTACTAATTTCTGCAGTGTTATGCAAAAAACACATTGTAGGACACTGCAGACTCCACTTCTGATGTTTATATTAAAAACAGCAATTTCCAGATGACAGCAGTATCCACTCTCCATTATAAAAAGAACCCCTCAGGGATTAATTTATAGGCAACTTTTAGGATCAGAGGTCTAGTTTAATTGTTACAGTTAACTTACTGAAGCTCCTGCCACAACATACTCATCACACCGCGCTCCAATGTTAGGAGGCTCCAGCAACTGGTCAATCCCATGGGCGATTCCCTCAGTAAATTCCAGGTCCCGCTGAATAATCTTAGCATTGTTTTCATTTAACAGTATATCACCCTGGACAGAACAGAAAGTAAAACAGAAAAAAATCAGACCATCCCCTCCTAAGTAATTTAAAGAAAACAAAAGGCAAAACTTTTTTTCCCATTTTGGATAGAATAAGGAAGGGCTATAACCCGTCAATTTTTTTTGCCATCTACATTCCATTGTGAAGATTTCCTTTCATTTCCTGTCCCAAAGCCAAAACAAAAACTGAGAAGAAATCCATTTCAAAGTGAGGGAATTCCTGGTTCTCGCCAATGTCAGAGGAGCTTGGATTTCCATTGGAAGATTTTTCATCTATTACTGTTCTGGGGACAACCCAGAATTTGAGATTTTCTTTTACTTTCACTATAAAGTGATACTAATAAACATGACTAATAGAGAGGGTGAATCTCCCTAACAGAAGCACAGACAGCAATAAAAACCTGACAGGTGTTCGACTTCTCCACACTGTCCAAAACTAAAAAAAAGTACTAAAAAGTTATACTTTAATGGCCATGTTCACCTAACACTGTAAAGTTTTATGAGTAGTTTGGTGTGTAAATTCCATTAGGAGCATAACGTATTGGACTCCATCCAGGGCCGCCATAAGGGGGGAACAGATGCCCAGGCCCCAACCAGGGCCGTCTTTAATGCAGGGCAAAAGGGGCAGCTGTCCTGGACCCAGTTGTTATGAGGCCCAAAGCAGCTGCCCCTGATGCTTTGTCATGGAGAGTCCTGGTATGGTGATTGCAAGAGCAGGGCAGGAAAAGCAGAGTCCTCAGGGCGGAGGCAGGCTGATAGCACCTTGCTCATCTCTACATGGGGAGCAGGTGGCTACGGGGAAGATTAGCAACGAGGGCAGCTAGGACAGACAGCCCAGGAGGGAGAAGACCTCCACCACCTCCCTGACCCCCAAAGAGGTTAGCAAAAGCCGGCACAGCATCCCTGATGCCTCCCAGAGCCTGGACTCCTTTTCCAACCTCCTCTCCGCTCTCAGCTCCAACATTAACAGTGCTGGTGGTCCGGAGGATGAGGACTGGCGGGAGGCACAGGTAGCCAGGGATCCACTGCAAGAAGAGCACCCCATTATCACACAGAAGGAGAAAGGGCCCTGCCGGCTGCTGGCCATTATGATCATCTTACTGCTAGCATGGAAAGTTCAGGCATCACATACACCTGCTCGCAGACAAGGATTGAGACAGTAGGGCACTGCAGGGACTGCAGACAGGGACAGGGCTGGGTGTGTCTCTCTTATCTTCTCCCACTCCTCTCTCTCACCCCCCCCCCTCTCTCTCATACCCTCCCTCAACCCCCACCCACCCTCTCACTGCTCTTTTCCACTCTCTTACACCCCTCTCTCTCTCTCACCACCCTCCATGGAGGACATGAGATTAGGGGAGGGCATAGGATGGAGGAGATGGGACTGGAGGAGGAGGACATGGAATGGGACTTGAGAAGGAAGAGGACATGGTATGAAGGACATGGGATGGAGGAAGAGTGTTGTCTTATATCACCCTGACAGAAGGCAGATCTGTTGTCCTATATCCAACACAGAGGATGATGAGTGTATTTATACATGTATTTTACCACAGCAACTAGTCCAACAGTTCTTTTCCATAAAGAGGTTTAATGAGCTCAGAAACAATCCACGACAGAGGTATGGGCAAGGCAGATAACAGGATACTTAGAATATTCATGCAATCAGACACCTTTAGAGGACCCACTTTCTCCTTTCACAACTCAACCAAAAAACCTTCCCTAATATACACCTTTTCCCATTGACCAAAGCATTGGGCAATCGGATTGGTTGGTTTTATGAGCATGTTTGATCTTAAGTGTTACAAACAATGTGTCTGGACCCAGATCATCTGTATGCATAGATTTCAATTAAATTTAATTAAGTAAAATAGATACTCTTTGTCTTGTTTATGGAAAAACTGTAATCTTTAACATCCTTGTACAAAGGTGGACACGATACCTAAGTTGAAATTTTCTTCACCATAAACAAGTATACTATATATATATATATTTAAGACGCCTTAAACCCATTTACCATATACTTCTCATACTGTTTAAGGGAAAATTGCATGTTTTTACCCTTCTTGCATAAGTAAAGACTCTACCTCTTTAAAAAGGCTATTACTCATAAATAAGGGCCTCATGAATATTTAAGACACTTCTAAATCTAATGAGACAAACTTGTATTTTACAGTGCTGGTAGATTTGCAAATAACCTGCTCTGAAACAGCCCCTGACTTTCCACATATTTGTCCAAAAACAGGTTAGCCCAAAATAACAAAGGTAAGATAATTACCTCGTACATAAATTAACATAGTAAGGAGTCCTTAGCTATCCTTTTGGTCAATAACGTGAATATGCACATACATATATATATATATATATATATATATATATATATATATATACATACATACATACATACATACACACACAGTGGTGTATTTAGGGTTTTGTGCTGCCCATACAACACAAATATCGCCTGCCCCCACAGACACTGACCAAAACCCCCCCTTCTCCCTCCCGTGGAGAGAGCCTGACATTGACCAACAACACCCCTGCCCCCCACCTGGGAGAGCCTTCCACTACCCCCCTCGGCGATGGAGAGAAAAACACTCATCTTCACAGCTCTGTACATCCCCGGGAACGAGAGTCAGGCTCTACATACACTATCAAGCAGCCTGCAGCCTCTTTCGGATCCCACCTGGTTGCTATGGTGCGCATGTCCCTTCTTTCATCCCTTCTGACGGGGAGCTGCTGCCCCCCTGAAAAATGCCACCCTAGTTTTGCTTGTTTGCCTTGTGGTGAATACGCCCCTGTATATATATATATTTACAATGTCCTACAAGGAGGAGGGCATGGGATGGAGGAGATGGGACTGGAGGAGGAGGACATGGGATGGAGGAGATGGGACTGGAAGAAGAGGACATGGGACTGGAGGAGGAAGACATGCGATGGAGGATAAAGACATGGGATAGAGGAGAAGGATATGGGATGGAGGAGGAGGGCATGAGATGGAGGAGATGGGACTGGAGGTGGAGAACATAGGATGGAGGAGATGGGACTGGAGGTGGAGAACATAGGATGGAGGAGATGGGACTGGAGGTGGAGAACATAGGATGAAGGAGATGGGACTGGAGGTGGAGAACATAGGATGGAGGAGATGGGACTGCAGGAGAAGGAGGACATGAGATGGAGGAGATGGGACTGGAGTAGGAATAGGACATGGGACTGAGGAGATGGGACTGGAGAAGGAAGAGGACATGGGATGGGGGTGAGATAAGACTGGAAGAGAAGAACATGAGATGGTGGAGATGGGACTGGAGAAGAAGGAGGAGGACATGGGATACAGAAGGAGGAGGACATGGGATGGAGGAGATGGGACTGGGGAAGGAGGAGGACATGGGATGGGCAAGATGGGATTGGAGAAGGAGATGGGACAGGAGGAGGACATGGAATGGAGGATATATTAAGTTGTAAGAGTGCTAAAATAAAAGTGGGTGCACTGAAGGACTCGTTTGGATGGCCAGTGGGCAGATTCGGTGGGACAGCCAATGGGCGGGTCCTGGGGAATGTTGGTGGTCAGGCCAAGGAGGGCTCAGGCCTAAAGTTGTGTAAAGGGTCCGAAAATGTCTGATGGCTGCCCTGACTCCATCAACCCACATCCTCTCACCAGTTAAGTTACAGCAGTTACATTTAGGTTACACGTGGTAGTCTCCACCCTATGATTTCTGCAGTCATTACTATGCATGCTTCACACAGACCACTACTTAAAGCAATTTCATATCCCACCCTACTGAACATGTATGCCCTATCCTCCAAGTACTTTTCAAATTACATGAAAGTAAATACAAATCAGTCAAAACTAGCCTTTTTATTCTTAGGTTACTGGAAAGATGAGTGTCCACAAGCCTCTCAGAGTCTATAAGGGTGGTATTTCCATGCAAGAGTGTTTGTTGCCATCCCATTCCACAAGTCCATAACAAAGCTGTCACTGTCCCATAGCTAGAAGCGGGACAAATAAAGCAGGTGCCCTGCTCACAGAAGAGAGGGGACACCTCAAATCTACCAGAAATTGTATCAAACTCAAAAGTGAAGGGAAAGAAATGAAAGTGCTTTATTCACAAATGGATCATAAAAAGCCAACATATTTCATAGATCTATGTTGCATATATTAATTGACAGTACAGTAACGCAAGTTTCACTTTACTAACTAAAATATGATAATGAACAACACATTTTTGTGAGATATGATGCTTGGTATATGGTTTGTTCACATTAAAGCAGAACTGACACAAAAAATCTACTTCTTGCATACTGCTCCATGTAAAATCATTTGCATTAAAGAAAAAACAAAAACAAAACACATAGCAAACACATCTTTGGAAAAAAGTTAGAAAATGTACTTACCCAACACCCAGCTTCTGCACAGAAAGGTAAAGTAGTAGTCTTTCCTTTGAGACCCTGGAATTGGAGTATAACAAATCTTCTGGAAAATGCCCTAGTGCAGTGCAAGGGCATCTTCTTGTAAGATTGAGGATCCTTCGCACTATTGTTATTTATTATATTTTGCTTTGTAACTATATATATATATATATATATATATATATATTTATTATTAATATTTATTAAAGAAAAAGTTTTCAATACACCAGAGGTAGAGGTTTATTTTTCTGAAGAAGGGTACAAAAGATCCCTACAAAAGATCCCTATTTTTGATCTCAGAAGTGCTTCAAACTGCTGTCAATAGTATTTGTCCATTCCAGCCTTTGGTATAACTGGTCCTATTCTAAACACAGAAATATTCATTTGTGGGTGAAATGGCCTTTAAATGTTTTCTAAATGTCATGTTTTCATTCCAAAAAATTACATAGTAAAGGAAGAATACTCACAATATTGGTTGTGCTGCATCGATCGAAAGGAAACTGTGGAACCATGCAGTGTCCTAAGCGATTTGGCTTCAGGCAAGCTTGCTGCAGTAATCTGGAAAGAAACGTCATACATTAGTTAACGGACATATCTTGTTTATACAGACATTGAGGGCATGCATGCAGAAAATTAGCTGCTTCCCAAGCTTCTGTAAACTCCACCGATAGCTATTATAATTGGCTCTTCCATTGGTACTCATATACAATCAACAATATTGCTCAAGGTTCAATATTGTCTAATGAATGTATAAATGAAAGTAGACTATTCAAGAAAACTAGTAGAACTATAACTTATACCAACTAAAGATCACAATCATTATTAATATTTTCTCAATTTTTGTTATTCTAGCAGCTTTTCAAAGCTTTTTTGAACTATAATTTGTAAAATCACAGTAAACATATCTGAAATATACTGTATTGCATGTTACCAGTCAAATATTGGACACAACTAAGCAAATACTGTAGAATTTTGAAACAGATTGTCCTTAGTCACATGTGATGACACATCTGTACAGTTTACAATGAAATAAGACAACTTCTTGTTCTTCTTCTTTACTTCTTGTTCTTTACTTAAAATCTGTTTCCTGGATTTTATTGAGGGACACAACATTCAGGATCAATTGGGTAATACTGACACCAAAATGAGGATTTGGACACTGGAAACAAAAAAGCAGTGGCCTGCCTGCCACAATTCTCATCAGAATTGCAGAGTCAGATAGCTCTTGAACTGTAGAGTCCACATTTTATAGCAGAAAGTCAGACGTTTTTCTTATAGGGTAGCTCTCCATCTTAAGACAAAGATACTTCAAGCAACATATTGGTTTCAGCACTCACTTTTGAAGGTTCAAGTTCCAACCAAACCTTCTATCTGCATTACATTATTAGCCAAAACCATTGCCGACTAATCCCTCAATAGGAGATCACCCAGATATCCCACAATGGGAAAGCCCTGGGAACATAACAAGGCTTGGACAGAGGCCAGTGCCTTGATGAAAACTCAGAGTGTGCAAGACAGACCAAATGGTAGGGTAAAAAAAAATGGTAGTGTTGAGTATCCGCAGAAAAATGAAGCAAAAGATGAGGACATGGAGTACACATCCTTGGTATCCACAGAGACTAGAAATAATCCCTGATGATGTCAGACCTAATGGATTCCATACAAAATGTTTGGACCTGAATGAAAACATTTAGGCCTTTGGATCCAAGATGGGTCAGATACCCCTTTTGGTTTGGGAATTGTAAAAAGGCTGGAATAAAAAACATTTCCACCTTTGGAACCATGGCGATAACTCATTGATCTAAAAGATTTGCAAGAGTAGCATGAAGTTTTCCCAGTCTGTGTTCGGAGACACAAGAAGGATGTAAAACATGAAGCAAGAAGGGAACAGAGGTCAGAACCCTAGTTTGTAGCTTCTGGAAACCATGCCCCTATGCTTCCTCACAGTTGTCAGCAAGGGTCAACAGACGTCCCCCAACTTGGAAAACAGGGGGGGTCCCTTCATGCCATATGGAGGATTTAGAGGCCCAAGGTTTGCAAGTAAACAGAGCCCCTTGCTTGCATCTGGCCATGGAGGTTAATGCTGGACAGTAACAAAAAGGAACACTTGGCCTCAGGGAGAGGGGGAGTCTACTCAGCTTAAGGCTTAGGTCTCTGCAGTATATTTACCCGAGTGACATATTTTATGAGGGTGTCCAAAGCAGTTGCAAAGAGATGTTCACTCTCAAAAGGCATGCACAACAGACACTTTTTCCATGTGGAAAATACCAAATAACCCATCTACACAATAGTGAAAAGCATGAGCTCTGAGTGCTCTACAAATCAAAGGTCAGTGTGAATAGTGGATAGATCCTTTAACATGAATTCAGTCCATTCCAAGGTTTGACAGACTAACATCACTGCCATGACAGGATGCAATGCAGGGCCCGTTAAGAGAAAACAAATATTTAAAGAGTTTCCAAACATTTGTAAATGGAATCCTTAAACATTGGTGCATCCTCAATATAAATGGTCAATACATTATTAGGGCAGGGCATCACCAAATCCACAGTGGGAAAGGATACCTCTTGATAAAGGCCTTCTCAAACAGATATGGTCCTGTAAAATATTTAGGAGGTGTAAATTGTTTTTCAGGAGTTTTCCAGTTTCTGTGAAGAACACTCTTGAGCAGGGCATGTACCAGAAAGGTTTAATAAACTTAGTGCCTCTCAGAGGTCCTCGACTAGCAAGTATGCTAGTAAAAGCCACAGGCTGCTCTTCCATTATTAAGGTGGTATACACTGTGTCAATAACTGCTATTATTTATTAATGCCTGGGGACTATGGCAGCGGTCTGCAACTCCAAGCCACCCTGGAACTGTAGTAGATCCAGAGCTGGAGAGACCCAATAAAGAAAGACAGCTCCCGTTGCAGTGGAGATCCAACACGTTGCACTGCTTGACACAGACAGCTTAATTGAGGAAACCAGGCAAAAAGTTTGGGTACTCACAAACCAGCTGCTAAGAGCAGAAATGGTTCAAATGGCTGGAAGTTTCTAGGTTTCCATAGGCAACAGCAAGGACTAATGTCCTCTTATGTCTTTCATGAGTAGGAGCAATGGCAGGAAGATGCTACACTGAAAGGAAGGAACAAAATGCAGTCAACAACAGTCCAGCTAGTGAAGTATCACTTAATTTCTCAGCGCTTAAACCCTTTCAGTGTTGACCCATGGAAATATGGGTTACACCAGAGGATGGACCTAGAAAGTGCTCTGGAGCTAACAAAAACAATACACAAAGGTCTGAAAGGCAGCACAAGCAGAACTCAGTAATCAAAGGTCACTTTTGTCCAGTCCTGTGATTTTGGGTACTGCTTCCAAAGCTATTGTGCAGTATTAGCATCCAGATAGCTGCATAAAAAACTAGTTCATGAATTATATAGATGAAGTCTTGATTAAAGTAAAAAATAACTTTGGAAAAAAAATTGCTAGAAAAATGGTAAAGACTTTCTCAACAGAGAAAAGACATCCAACCTCATGAGACACCAGCAGGCATGCAGACAATGGGATGGATTACACCAGGCTGGCTACTTTTTTTTTGTTCGTGTCCAAACCCCCTGTAGTGTCCATTCACAGCAAACTGGTGATACAGTTGAGGCAAGTTCCACACTAACTTTTTGAGTCATTTTACTACTGTGACATGGACTGTAAATGATAACTGCTGTGGAACGTCTTCCTTTGTCACTGTTGTATTATCTTTCTGCAGTGTGGAAAGGTAACCCCTTGATGCCTGCTGCCTCCCGGCCCTTTAAGAGTTCTAAAAGTTTGGAGGTGGAGGTGCGCCTTAGGGCCATGTGACCTCTGTGATTGGCTGTCACAGTGGTCACATGATCAGAAACCTGCTGATTGCAAGTATGCATCAGGAGCTTATATATCACTGCCGGCTACCATGCTGGGAGCATGCTCTCAGTACTGTAAGTAGTTTAAACAGGGTCGCATATATGTCGCCACACTAAGGCACATATGTCGAGTAGGTGCATAAATGCGTGCAGCTGGCATTAATAGGTTAAACTGAATATTCATTAATGTAGAAGTGAAGCAGTCATCTTTAAGGAGACTACTTTGCAATGTTCGTTTATGGCGTGTCTTCAGTGCTCTGGGAAGCCATCTTTGCTGGGTCTGGATTCATCCTGGAGGAAGGAGATTGGCTGTTTTTTTTAGCTGCTGACTTTTAATTTTTTTAGAGTGTGACTGGAACTCTGCTTTAATTTTCCAATCATGTGCATATAAAATAAACAATTTGCTTTTCATATGATTGGATAAACAAAGCGTATCTTCACTATTGTTAGAGTGAACATTCTCAGTTACTTTAGTAAATCATCCTCACAACATGTGCAGAAACTGCCTCAGTAAACTCAATGCGCCTTTCAAGAATTGTATCATGAAAGCAATATATATATATATATATATATATATATATATATATATATATATATATATATATATATATATATATATATTACATTACACCATTTTTAAATTTTTAAAATAAAGAGTTTATTCAAGTAATTTAAAAATAATATAAAAAGAACAGTACATAAAATTCAAGAGCTTTGGTAATCCTTCTGTAATTTTAGTGCGTTTCAAAGACATGAGTACCTTTATATCTCTGATAATGTGAACTTTCAGATAGGCCACAAGTTTGTCTTTGTGGTCTTCATGGTACAACCATCTCTTTCTCTCCGCTGGCAGAGAGTTGAAAGCGTTATCTGTAGGCCACAGCATTGTGAAAGGTTGGTGAATTTTATTATTAATCACAGAAAGTAAGTTGGATTCCTGTCACAAAGAAATGAACTGGTTAATAACAAGCTAAATAATACCAGTAATGTGGTCCATGTGGACAAATTATTATGGGATACCACAGGTAACAAACCCTGACAGACTGATAAGTTTCTCAATTGTCCACACCTGGATAAATAGTCAGAATATTCAAATTTATCTATTGCTGTTTATGAATGCCTTGTACGGCAAACTTAAACCGGAAATTCACTCTCTCAGTCAACATTGACTAATGAAATCCTTATTCTTTTAGCATTAGTAAATAGATAGGAAGGTATATTACATTTACTTGTTTAACCTTTTTTTTAACATTTCTTCTATTATTTCCTGGTTTCAATTGGGTCAATGATGTCATACATCCCAGGAATCTTCCGGGAGGTGAGGAGGGTGTGAGCGGTCTTTTCAGCTAAGTACACTCTTCTGCCTGCGTGCCTGAACTAAGGGCAGATGGATTCTAGGAAGTAAATGCTACATGAATCATCTGCCCTTAGTCAAGATGGCCACGGCCAGAAATGCTAGTAGGTGTTTTTCAAAGTGATTTCACAGCAAAAAAAAAAAAAATGGAGGCATGGATGGATGGGTGAGTGTTCTTTGAATATTAAAAATGATTCAATAGTGTTCTTGGCTTGTGGTGTTCAGATGCAGTGTAGTTCCACTGTACGTAATACTGCATATATCATCAGCAGTGTTATGCAATAATAATTTTGAGACCACACAAAATATGGACACAAAACATTATGTCATGTGCTGCATCCTGAATGATGCAATTGTGGTGTCTTCTGGGCTCGGGGAGGTAGCAGTCATGCAGGCACAGGAGTTACTAATGCTGGTTATCCATCCTCAGGGGATGGAGTGAGTGAGCAATACCTTGTCTATGAGGTTTTGTATCTGGTAAGCACATCAATTACCTCTAGGTAATGAATGCTTCACAGCTGATATTCAGTTTCAAGGGATGTGAGTAGAGGCCACTATATATATTGTCACAGTTTATGGAAGATAAGGATAGTAATCGGAAGAATTTATGAACTGTCCTGATACTCACACTATTCACTAGGTTTTCAAGTTACATTCAGCTTGATTGCATTTTTTGTACTTTATAGTCATTTACATGACTATGCATGTATGTATACACATCTTTGGTTCCACTACATTAAGGGAGGGATTCCCCTATTAACACTAACTGTGTTAATGGGGGAATCAAGCAACCACAGGTTGCAGGAAAAACAAAATGCATAATCTATGGCTTCCTTAAAAATCTAGTGTCCTGTACTGTAAGATTTAGAAATTTATAGCTTGATTTACTTTAGATACTTTGATCAAAACTGTGTTATTCTTCTAAAAAGCAATGTTTTAATGCTTAGTTTTAAATTTGTAATTATGTATGTACATGGGGCAGCTAAATTTGCTCATTATGCATGCAGGCTTCTTATTTCGCTATACTACACAGTGCTTGTCCTTCACAGCCCCTTCTCACAATGCAAGTATTTAGGGTTGATTTAATAAAAGAGTAGACACTTTTCACTTATATTAGTGTATAAGATGAAGCTGCATTCATTTCACTCATCCAATAATCTGCAAACAAAAATCCTCTCTCTTCAATTCCTCTTGCATTATTCAAAGTGAACAAAGCATTCTCTTATTTACTGTTAGGTGAACAGTCTATCCCTTTAAATGAACTAAAAGCCCTGTACTGATCACAGCTGATTCAGTTAGATCAATGGGATACCTGTGAGACTGATATTTATTCCTACAGTTGTTCAGAATTTATGAAGAGTAATTGTAGACGCTAATCAACCCAGCCTCTAAAAGATAATCAAAAAAGCTTTACATTTAAAGCGGTAGTAAACTCTCTAAAAAAAAAAAAAAATTCCCCTGCAAGGCAATGTCATCATGTGCTAGTATGCATCGCATAGTAACACATTATGTGAAACTTACCTTAAAAACGAAACGCTCCAGCGGCACTCTGTCACCATTGACAGTGCTTCCATTTTCACTCAGTCCTTCTTCCGGGTTTGCAAGCTCTGGCAGCGTGAATGGCATGCGAGTGGGAGTCACTTTTTACGGCACACAACTCTGAAGGAATGCAACGGGAATGCTGTTCCTTCAGGGCACATGCACTGGTGCTCTACACAGGTACATATCTCCTAAAGAGTGCATGTTTAGGAGATATTTACTGTACCTACAGGTAAGCCTTATTATAGGCTTACCTGTAGGTACAAGTGTAAAAACAGACTTTACTTTAAAGTGTTACTGAACCCAGGATCCTGCATTCACTATATCTGGTCTACCACAGTACACAGAACACGGAAATTCAATTATTAGTAAATATAAAGGGCTAAATACCTTTTCTCATCAGCAGTTAGAGCAGTCTTGTGACTTATATCAGTGTTCAGCAGAGCACTGGTTAAAGCTTGTAGGTGCAGTTTCCTGTAGGAGGATGCAGAACCCCTGACCTCTGTCTGGCCAGTGCTGATTGGTGCTGTACTGCTCACATGCACTCTCCCAAGAAAAAAAAAAAACCTCTCTAGCAATACACACCAAATTGAGCATGTGCAGTGTCTCCATACAATATGTCTTATCAGGGGATAAGAGGGGGACACTGGAAGAAGGGGAGAATCAGAGAAGTCAGGATCAAACTGCATTTTTACACAATGCAGAGGATTACCCCTTAGGTGAGCATAAAAAGCATGCTTTACGTCATAAACTGCACAGACTGATTTTACTGTTGTGGGTTTAGTAACACTTTAAAGACTTTACTACCACTTTACAGTACATCTTAAAGGATAAGTTCACTGTTGTAAAATCAAGGTAAAAAAAAATGTGCATTTATTTTTTTTTCTTAGAAGCCTGCAGAGTATTGCACCCGCCATCAGCAGACTGCAGGTACAATCTCTGGCTCCTGTAAACTCTCAGTACAGCTCTCTGCCAGTACCTCCTGTATGGGCAGATACTTACTGAAGGGCAGGAAGAATCAATGAACTACAAGGGCACTCACCAGCTCCTTTGAAGTTCATTGTAAACTACAAGCTGACTGCAGCAGTGGCGGACGGGACTTGTAGTTCATTAATTCACAAAACTCTGAATGAAGGATGTGGCTGTGTGGGTGGAGCCCCGCAAGGCTGCACTGTTTGTGACAGCAAGTGCAGGGAGAAGATCCCCCGCCCGCGGTCACAATGAGGGATTAGGGGGTGCAGGGCTTCTGCTTTAGTAACATGTTACACCCTGAGTACAGGTGTAACATGTCACTAAAGGTGAACATATGCATTAAACAAAGAACATTAATGCCCATTGAACCTGCCAGTGCCCTTGTAACTTCTTGTGCACTGAACAGAAATCTCAAACAATATCAACTATCATATGTGAACAAAAACACTTTCTCCCTATGCAACGGAGATGGGGAGAGTGGGAGATGTTCTGCAGTCCTAAGACACTTCCTGTCCTACAGAAATAATGCAACTACTTCATAGAAACAGTACAGTGAATATGCATTGTCACTATAGGACAGAGAGGGGAGATGTATTAAAACTGGAGCACTCGGAATCTGGTGCAGCTGTGCATGGTAGCCAATCAGCTTCTAACAGCTTGCTCAATTAAGCTTTGACAATAAAACATGGAAGCTGATTGGTTTCTATGCAGAGCTGCACCAGATTTTGCACTCTCCAGTTTTAGTAAATCTCCCCCAAAGTGTGTTACTGGCAGGGTTACTAGGTAAAAAAAAAAGCTTAAAAAGGGGAATAAATGTAAATGCAGCAATCACATCCAAGGATTGCTCAGTTGTAATATATTACATTTTTGTTTTGGGGTTAGACATGTTTTTAAATATATGAAAACGACATCAAAACTACTTCAAAAACAATTAATTTCAAATAAAAACCTTGTGATAACTTTAAATATGTGCTCACTGATAATACTCTATATAATTAGCTATAAATACTGCACCTAGCTGTAAAAAATAATCACATTACATGAATATTGGTGTAATTGTATTAGCCTAATGTCATATTACAAGAAGTATAGTAAACTTACCTTGAGTAGTTGGGCAAATGTGGAATAACCCTGAAGCTTGGCAGCCTGACTTACATTTAACTGTATGTAAAAAAAAAAAAAAAAAAAAAGTTAATAGCTATTCATTCATTTCAAATGGATTCTTTTCCATTTTTGTATTTCTTTATTATTTTTCCACAGGCATTCACAAGAGTGCATATGTATAGTCCTCTACTAACCTTTCAAACTATAATCCAGGTATCCTTTGATAGAACATTGATTATTACAGTGACTTTTCATGTATTTTTACTTACAACTATTACAGTGCCTTGAAAAAGTATTCATACCCCTTGAAATTTTCCACATTTTGTCATGTTACAACCAAAAATGTAAATGTATTTTATTGAGCTTTTATGTGATAGACCAACACAAAGTGGTGCATAATTGTGAAGTGGAAGGAAAATGATAAACGGTTTTCAAACTTTTTTACAAATAAATATCTGAAAAGTGTGGCGTATATTTGTATTTAGCCCCCGAATACAGCTGCAAGACTTTTGGGGTAAGAAAAGTATCCACACAACATGATGCTGCCACCACGTTTCAAGGTGGGGATGGTGTGTTCAGGGCGAGGTGCAGGGTTAGTTCTCCACCACACATAGCATTTTACTTTTAGGCCAAAAAGTTACATTTTGGTCTCATCTGACCAGAGCACCTTCTTCCACATGTTTGCTGTGTCCCCCACACGGCTTCTCACAAACTGCAAAACGGAAATTCTTATGGCTTTCTTTCAACAATGGCTTTCTTCTTGCCACTCTTCCATAAAGGCCAGATTTCTGAAGTACACGACTAATAGTTGTCCTGTGGACAGATTCTCCCACCTGAGCTGTGGATCTCTGCATCTCCTCCAGAGTTACCATGGGCCTCTTGGCTGCTTCTCTGATTAATGCTCTCCTTGCCTGGCCTGTCAGTTTAGGTGGATGGCCATGTCTTGGTAGTTTGTTGTGTCATACTCTTTCCATTTTCGGATGATGGATTGAACAGTGCTTCGTGAGATGTTCAAAGCTTGGAATATTGTTTTTTACAACCTAACCCTGCTTTAAACCTCTCCACAATTTTATCCCTGACCTGTCTGGTGTGTTCCTTGGCCTTCATGATGTTGTTCGTTCACTTATGTTCTCTAACAAACCTCTGACATAAACGTTTATGTAGCAGCCAGGGGGAGGAGTAAAGGGGAATACTATAGAGTGTCACTTGTGTAGCAGCTCTGAGTCTGTTGAGACTGCTGACATCACATCCATGATGGAGGCATTTCCAGGTAAATAACATGCCTAAACTATGCCTAATGCACGTCATTTTATGAGAAGATTTTTGATTAAATTAATAGACAGACGACAGGGTCTATTTAATATATATGACAGGACATAATGAAGGTTATAAGCCAGTGACTATCAGCATTGGCAAAGCCATTGCACTTATTGAATAGAGGTCAAGCATTTCTACAACAGTGTTGTGGTGGTAAATACAGTCTTAACCCTAATCAGCTCATATTGGGGGAGATTTACTAAAACTGGTGCACTCAGAATCTGGTGCAGCTGTACATAGTAACCAATCAGCTTCTAACTTCAGCTTGTTCAAGTAAGCTTTGACATTAAAACCTGGAAGCTGATTGGTTACTATGCACAGCTGCACCAAATTACGTGTGCACCAGTTTTAGTAAATCTCCCGAGTTGACTCATTGCCACATACCATTAACTAGTTGTAGTTTATTATTATTATACAGGATTTATATAGTGTCAACAGTTTGTGCAGCGCTTTACAAGGTTTGAAGGTAGACATTACAGTTACAATACAATTTGGTACAAGAGGAAACAGAGGGCCCTGCTCATTAGAGCTCATAATCTAGGAGATAAGAATATTTGTAGCTTTTTCACAGTTTGCTACGCATCCCTCAACATACTTCCATAATATACACAAAAACAGTCTGTTTTTGCTGAAAGTTGAGTCGAACTTACCAAAGATGAACTTGTGTTTGTAGGAATTTTGGGTATCAACACTTTGTCAATGAAGTGGATAACACCATTACTTGTTAAATCACTCTTTATTATTTTTGCAAAGTCATTCAAATATACTTCCTCCTGGAAACAAATTGGCATGAAAATTAGTGCTAGAGTCTAAACTCCATTTTTAAAAAAATGCATTTTTTTTAATAGCAGGGCCAGATGTATAGTTAGGTATGATAGGCCAAAGCCTAGGCATGTCAGAGTATGCACCCTAAAACTTTCTGCCATATCAATAAATAGCACTAAAATGATTGTGTGATATCCATCTGCCCCTGGCACCTGTGTAGGGATCTGCTGCCCTCTACTGTCTGAATGTGTAAATGCCTGTAAATATATTATGTATGCACTTCCTGCCCCTGATTGTTGGCTTCAAAGCCCAGGAAAGAGAGACTGAGAAAATGTTTTAGCAGCATGTCCTGCCCATGCTACTAAGTCCTAGACCAGAAGAGACTATTATGCAAGCGTTCGTCTTATGATCTTATAGTTTAACTACAGCTGCTGAGTATATAACAAAATCTTTTTGTGACAGAGTATACCTGCCCTGTCTTTGTTATTACTTCCCATGCACAGTGTCAGATAGCTAGGTCTGTGCTACTGTATGCAGTGGTCATCTTACTGTTTATTAGTAACTGAACCTGTCTACTGCAATAGAGTTTATATACAGCTCTTGTTATTTTAGACAGTACTAGCAAGGGACTAAAGCTCAGAATAGATAGGCGTATTCAGAATTTCAGTGCCACACCGCAGTTCCTTCTGGTGGGAAGTTTAATTCCAGGTTTGCAGGACAACAGTTGGAGGATACCCTTGTGACTGCTGATCTTGTCTTCAGGACTCCAAATAAAGACAGAAAGTGCATCATCCTCAGGGGCAGGGGTGGACTGACCATTCGAGCACTCGTGCACTGCCTGAGGGCCCGGGGTCAGTAGGGGGCCCCATGAAATGCCCCTGGTACCTTTTTTATAGGCTTTTTTTGAGTGTGGGCAAGGACACAGGGGCCCCATGATCCCCTATTGCCCGGGGGCCCCATGAGTTGTCAGTCTGCCCCTGCTCAGGGGCCTCTGCAACTGAACATTGCTGCAACATTCATCTGGAGGTATCATTATGAATAACTATATTATACCTGGATATATGTGCACAATACCACTAGGACTCTTGTTGGGCCCGTTGCTGTTTGAACTTTGGATGTATATACCGTTATTCTCTTCTTATACAGTTAATCTCTTCTTATATAAAGCTTGTATTATTTCTATACTGGTGTGCATCTACACTCACTGGCCACTTTATTAGGTACACCCTGCTAGTGCCAAGAAAATATCTCCCACACCTTTACACCACCAGTCTGAGCCGTTGATAGAAAGCAGAATGGATCCATGTTTTCATGTTATGTCTGCCTATTCTCCTCTGAGTTCTAACATCAACAAGGCATTTTCATCCACACAGCTGCCACTCACTGGATAATTTCTCTTTTTCAGACCATTCTCTGTAAACCCTAGAGATGGTTGTGCATGAAAATCCCAGTAGATCAGCAGTTTTTGAAATACTCAGACCAGCCCGTCTGGCACCAACAACCATGCCATATTCAAAGTCACTTAATTCCCCTTTCTTCTCCATTCTGATGCTCAGTTTGAACTTCAGCAAGTTGTCTTCACCACGTCTTCATGCCTAAATGCATTGAGTTGCTGCCATGTGATTGGCTGATTAGCAATTTGTGTCACCAAGCAATTGAACAGGTGTTCCTAATAAAGTGGCTGGGGAGTGTATATGCTTATGGTTAATGTTATATGCTGGTTGCAGTAGTAGTTCTGCTCCCAATTACTTTGTTTAGATTGCGGATTAACCCTGTCCTAAAGACCCTGTCCTGGGTGAATGCATTGCCAACCCTATTATCAAATCCACTCTTCCACAAAGGTTATGATCCTCCTATTTATCTACAAGTTTAACCCTCTATTGTTTGGGGAGAGCAATTTCTTATAATCACCCCCGCAAGAGGGCTACACTTGATTAGTTTTTGCAATTGTTAATGAGAATCAGAGGGCAGGTGCACAGCAGAAATGCAGTATTTGCAACCCAATCTGGGTAACAGGAGAATGTTACATATTTTTCCATGGTTGTGGAAAGGGGGCTAAAATGTTTGTAGAAAATTTAGATTTTTTTCTAAATACTTACCTGTAAAATCCATTTCTAGGAGTACAGGGAGTACGGGACACAAAGAGGGCTATAATAATGACTATGTGGGTTATGTGTCACCTATAGGTAAGTGGACACTGGCAGATCAATCAAACAGAAAGTCCTCCCCTACAAAACCCCTCCTACACAGAAAGCACTTCAGTTTTTGTAGCAAACAATGAAACTACAGAAAGAGGGGGGGACCTCTGTGTCCCATGATGTACTCCAAGAAATGGATTTTACAGGTAAGTATGTAGGAAAAATCAATTTTTCTTTATTGTACATCATTGGACACAGAGCAGACTATAATAATGACTATGTGTGATGTCCTAAAGCAATAAAAATATGAGGGGTGGGTGACACCATAATAACCACCACCATGAATCTCAAAAGGACCTACTCAGCCGCTCGTAATACACTGCGGCCAATGACAGAATCCTCCGCAGCTCTGACATCCACCTGGCAAAACCCTGTGAATATATGAACCGAAGACCATGTAGTGGCCTTGTAAACCTGAGCAACTGACACTAGATGGCAGATAGCCCAAGATGCCCCCATAGTCCTGGTAGAGTGTGCTATCACCCGAAAAGGGTGGGACCTTGCTCTTTCAAACCATAGGCTTGAATGATTGTCGGATCCAATGAGAAATAGTTGACCTGGATGCTGCCTGCCCTTCCTGGGCTGTTATGGCAGCACAAACCACAATTCTTGACCTGTGCAGCCAAACTCAAGTAAATCCTGACCACCCCAACTACATCCAAAGTATGCATTGATCTTTCCCCCACTGCCTGTGGACTAGGAAATATGAAAGGCAAGACACTGTCCTGATTCAAGTGAAAACTAGAAACCACTCTAGGCAAGAAAGATGAAGTAGGATGCAACATCACTTTATCATGATGCAAGACCAAGAACAGCTCCTTACATAAAAGAGCCACCAGCTCTGACACTCTTCTTGCCAAAGTGATAGAAACCAAAGAAGATACCTTCTGAGTCAAAGGGCTAATGGAGTCTTTCAAATTTGCTCAAAAGAAAGTTTGTGCAAGGACAGCCCAGACCATGTTCAAGTCCCAAGGACACAAGCGTGGTCTGACAGATGGGACTGTCCGGGCTACACCCTGCACGAAATACGAATCAAGAAGTGAAAACCAGTCTCTGGGAAAAATGGATAGAGCCAAAATCTGCCCCCTAATGGTACTTAGGGCCAGTTTCATTTCCCCTCTTGATTGGAGAAAGGACAAAAAATCTCCCACAACTCACAAGTAAATTTCAACAGGTGCAACTTCCTGGCTTCATACAAGGCATATAAGATTTCCAGGTCCTGTAATGGAAGCTCCCTGAAGAAGGCATACTGGCGCTCATCAGTGCAGGGATAACTGGACCCAAGACCCCCTGAGCCTTCCAGACCTAGGCTTCAATAGCTAAGCCTTCAATCCTAGCAATTGTAAAGCAGGATACATTATTGGACCCAAGACAATATGTCTGGGGAGGACTGGAAGTGTCCAAGGAGCATCCACTGCCAGATTCACTATGTCAGTGTACCAAGCCCTTACTGGGCTAGGCTGTGCTACCACTATTATCAGTGTTACCTCCTCTCGAATTCTGCTCAAAGACAGGGCAATAGTTGAATCGGGGGAAGACATAGATTAGGGAGAATGTGGTTCACCTTTTCCCGAGCCACAGGACTCCTGGTGTTGCTGTCATGGTTGATATATGCCACTGCCGTTGCATTGTCGGACCAAACCCTGACAACAAATCTGTGTAACTGGTTCGTCCAATATTCCAGAACAAGGCATACTGCCTGAAGCTCCAAGATTTTGATGGGCAGTATTTTCTCCTGAGGAGACCAAGTCCCCTGAGCTGTAGCCACCTCAAAACCAGCCCCCCAACTGGAGAGACTGGCATAGATGGTTACGATCTTCCATATCCCTGGAAAGAAAATTACCCCTTCAGATTTCAAACAAATAACCACAAATTTTGACTCTTGCAATACCCCAGGGATAAAGCCCTCTGGCAATCCAATGATTGGATCTGCATGATCCAGACAGACAGAATGTTCCTCTGGAGTGGAAATGCACATAGGAAACCGCATTAATGTAGATACCATTTTGTCATGCAGAGACATATTAAAGGATAACTTTTACTTTTGCTTTAAACTTTGAACTGAATGCTCCCTGAGCAAAGGATCGTAAAGGTATCCTGAGAGTGACACCCCCCTTGCATCCTTAGCAAGTCCACCACTAGGGCTAGGAGCTTTGTGAACACTCGGGGGGCTGTGGCCAGTCCAAAGGGCAGTGACACAAAATAAAAATTCTTTACTGCAAGATATGCGTCATTGAGGACTATGGACATCCAAAATGTATATCTTGCAGAGAGGCCACCACTTTTCAGAATGATCCAGTCCAAAACAGAAGGATGTCTAGAATTATGTCTAGTTTCGTGAGATCTAAGATAGACCTCATGTCCCCGTTTTGGTTTTGGGCCCGCAAACCTGTTGAGTGTCTTACAATAATGATCCCATAACCTCTGCTCCAAGAGAAAATACAAGGCAAAAGCCTGCTAACTCTGCGATGAACCCAAGAGGAATACTTAACCTATTAGATTTCTGCCACTAAAGATGGAGCGAATCACCTCAGAGACTGCCCTAGCATCCTCTACCAAAGATGCACTATAATGGGTGTATAAAATCAAGAACCCAGGCATGCAGACACCTTCTGCAAACATTTGTGAAAGAATGGGTCACTCTCAGGAGCTCAGTGAATTCAAGCATGGTACCGTGATAGGTTGCCACCTGTGCAATAAGTCTATCCATGAAATTTCCTTGCTACTAAATATTCCACGGTCAACTGTTAGTGGTATTATAACAAAGTGGAAGCAA